ACGGGGTGGACCATTTTACCACCGTTTTTGCACCAAAACTGATAACGTTGTCTTTCGATTTGCGACATCGGAATGTCGTCGATATCTAAGCCTGACCATTGTGCGGAAAGGCCTAGCCAAGTACTACCATCTGCTTATCAATAATATCAGGTGATATTTAAATTGATGATGTCACAAGTGGTACAAAGAGCACGACCATTAAGTGGTCGTATATGGCTACTTGGGCGTCAAAGGGTTAATTAACCTTTCTTCACGAACAGCAAAGGGACGGAGCTTAGTGTCAGTATCATGAAAGTGTCCATCATGATTATGGAGCTGGGAAGAAATTATATGAATTCTGGTTTCTCTGAGACCAAATGAGCTGTCCGTTGCTGATAAAGAAGTGTCTCTATTATGGAGTTGTCCGGAATTCGAAGGAGAGGTTCTACTGAGGCAACAGCCTTGAAGGAGATATAAAAAAACGGGGATCGCGAGGAGGGGCCCCAGCGTATAGAGTTCCTAGTTTTTACAGAATTGGTGACTACAGTCTCAATGAGGACCTCTCTACTAACCAGTAATTACCTCAGGGAGGATAACATGCGCCATGAGGCTCAAAATGTTTATCTGAAAAATTTGCACTTGCCTGTGAAGAAGATTACGGCTCAGGCTGAATGCCTAAAGTCCCTCAGAACTACTCTGTCACACACGATCACACCGAGAAAAACACAATGCACTAGAAATATTGCTTAAGTGAATGACGGAAAGCAATTTCTTAATTCGTTATGATCTGTCTACCATGATTCTACTTTTGGAAAAATTTCAAGGGAGTTTGGGCCAAACCTGCTGGAAACCCAGTTTCCATTTTCGCATTAACCATGTCCTAGTCTCCCTCGCTTGGAAACGCCAAGACGAAGCCGAAAGCACTTAATGACTGGCCCCAAGAGAGACAGTGAGTTTTGTTACCCCGAGACCATGAATGTCAGGGTCGTAAACAGTCATATTTAATTTAGAAGCTTTCAGATGATACTGTGTGCGCTTTGTTGAAAAGAATTCACAGATGGCCGTCTCTCATGACTGATGTGTTTTCATAGTCTTGTTACCAGTCTGCTTGAAAGCGTATGGATGACGAAACGAGAACTTAGAAAGTGATCACCCTTGGTCACACTCTTGGCGAATAATCAGCTATAACTCCGAAAAACCTTGGACAGCATTGCCTCCAAAAAGTTCTTCGAAATTTCTTATATAGTGCTCATAAAAGAACGATCGTGTCTAAAGCGAGCTCATGATTCAAATGGAAATCAAATAAAAGTTGTGAGATTTACAGGTAAACAAAGAGCGAGTAAACAAATCTTAGAGAGAATAACCAACAAAGAGTACTCTAAAGTAAACACAAACCGCATCGTTTCCATTATCGCATTCAAAGGACATTTCCATCATGTATTCCATGTCGACATCCTCTCCACCGTCCTCAATAGCACATCTTAACTCCGGCTTGATCTGCATCTCAAACAAGTTGAAATTGCTCTGCGGATGACAGTCCACCAACCCAGGGCCGAATTCCTTTGGTACTTGAGAGAACTCATGCGTCATAGACGTGCAATTCTGAAATATGAAGGACGATATCAAAAGCCACAACCGTGCAAAACGCTGTAATCAGCGTTTTTTCGTGTGCATGTACTAATCTTCATTGAGGAAAGATCTTCATTAATAATGAAAAGATCTTTTCTGGTACCTGGTGACTAGCTCCTCTACAACATTCTGTCAAACAACGAACACTTTGTGAACTCAACCGTGTAATTAGTGCCTCCCCCATTAAAAAACCCAGGCTACATCTCCTAGAAATCTCGCCGATGAAATTCTCTGAGACGGTTTAACAAACATGGCTTTCGACGAGGAAATCCAACGATTCCGTCGTTCGTTAGCACGACATTTACAATATGACCTAATCATAAACCAAGAATAACCCCTTAACGTCAAAAGACATTGTGTGTTCTCTGTACCATTGGATTAACCCTACTATTCTCGATAACTGCAAAGAGAATTCAGTTCCATACCTCGTCAAAACCTGGTGCAACGGGGACCCTGGCTTCCATACGGGCCTCTGTCCTTCGCTAGGCCCCCGCTAAGGGAGAAGACGGAGGCCCACAGCTAACTTGTCCACTTACTCGACAATGTTGTCCCATCAAAGCACCGCGAAATGTGCTAAGTGTCCTTGATAAGGTCAACTGTACTTTGATTGGTCCGTTTATCGCTAAATAATTGCTCCACTGTGGGGTTACGAGATTGCAAGATGATCTAATCGCGGTTTTCTTTTTCAACGCAGAGCGTCCCACGCAAAACTCGAGGGAACTTTTGAATCCTCAGCTTCCAAACAAAGAACTAGAAAGTTCTGCAGCTCTTTTAGGATGAAACAAAGGACAACCAGTGACATCCACAAGAAAGTGTAACGAACATTGTGATTACATGACTGGTACCAGCTTTACGTTTTGTTGACACTTTTTACACTTCCTGTCATTCTCGCTCCCAGTCTTCTATCGTCCATTCACGTGCACCCCATCAGGCCCTGGTTGTTCGAAAGGTGGATAACCCTATCCAAAGGATAAATCACCATCCAGTGGATAGCGTGGTTTGTTTTGTTAACACGTATCCACTTGATAGCGATTTATCCGGTGGATAGCGTTATCCAGCCTCCGAACAGCTGGAGCCAGATCTGCAAGGTTTATTCCTTACAATGAGAGTTCATTATTCCGCACCCAGTTGACGGATCTGAGACAGTAGGTCTGAGCGAGAAATCTGGTGAGAACTTTTACCACTAAATAGAGAATTAGCGTATATTGAGCGAGGCAGTGAATTGTATGACGTTTACCAATATTTGTCAACTATTAAATCTTCAAATAAACATGAACAGAGGAATACCGTTCCCATATTGTCCAGTCACGACACGAACCTGAGAGGCTAGTTCAGTGTAGTATTTTATAAAGCACTTTGTGGTAAAGTAAATGAGAACTGACATTCATTATTGTCGTAAAATGCACCAGTGCGACAATATCGAGCGCATACAAGTGTGTGAAAAAAAACATTTTTTTCTAAAACTATGAACTAGAATTGTAGACCAGCAAGAAAAACGGGTTTTATTTTGTACAGTGTTTTATAAAAGAAAAACAAAATCGGTCTACTTCATTTTTAACGGCCCATCTTTGGTTTATCGGTCCATATTACAAAGATCGTATTGCTCAGAGAACCAAACAGAACGGGTCTTTTCGTTTTGGACCAGGTCAGCAAGATAATAAAAGGTGTTATATAATTAACCTCTAGGGCTGTACTGGGAGAGTTCTTGACAGAACGGATCGATCTCAGAGTACAGGAGTTGACCCAGGACAGGTAGGGCGCCAGGTTGGTGGTTCTCCGAACAAGCTTGGTTGATAGATAACAAATTTATCACACGACTAATGATTGAAGCCAAACCCTTCAAACCTTAACTGGTCTATTATTGTGAAAATATTGCACGGGCAATTGAGCACGGTGATTGGCTAATTGCAAGTATTGGTCTTTTAACCTGTCTCAGTTATGTAATAAGGCAATTCATTACTCAAAGTAGTAATTGAACGGGGCAAATACCATAGTTAACTAGCTAACTCATAAGGGAAAACAACCAGAGATAAACTGCGGGGCAGATAAGATCTTTGAAGCGAAATGTTCTAATCTGTGCAACGTCATTCAATCACTAATCTCAAATCCTGGAGAAAAAAAACATGTCAACCAAATTTTCATGGATACCCAAAAACACTTGCAACCCTAAGCGTACCCACGAGTCGAGCTGCGAAAGCCAAGCTTTAAACGAAGATAGTATCCTTAACTCTCAACCTGGTCCGACTGTGCCGGTAAAGGACGCGAAGGTCTAAAACTATTGAACTAATTCAAACCGCAAAGGACTTTGTGAAAGTCTACTTCAACACTTAAACCCACGAAACATCAACTTTTGGGCCGGTGAGAGGGCTGCGTGTTTATAAGGGTGCGTTCCTTTGGGGTGATCTGGATCAGGATCAGTGATCCAAGATCACTCGGATCATGGTGCATCAAAGGAACTGATGAATCCACTCTGGTCATGGATTCATCAGCTCCTTTGATGCCCCATAATCCGAGTGATCTTGGATCACTAATCCTGATCGAGATTACCCCAAAGGAACGCGACCTAAATGACCTTGGAAATATGTCACTCCTCAGTTACTTATAATAAAAATTTCAGATTTGATTTTTCTTCTCCACTTTTTTCTGGCAAAACCAACAGAACCTGTCAATCATTTGAAAGATTTACTGTCCTTTATACAATTTTATATTATTTTTATATTATTATTACTATTATTATCCACGTTGTGATGCTCAAATAATTTAAGATTCTCGATATATCTGGCTCATTATATTGTTAAGGTTCCGGTAACACTCAAATTCAGACGTCATTGGTTAGTCTCGGAGAGAAACTTCAATAAACCTTAACTGTCAGCAATTTTCCGGCACTTGAACGGAAGTCAGCATCAAGTACATATACCGGGAAGTGAACCAACGCAGGCATTTAAACGTTCTGCTGGGAAAAAGATATTGCATTTCCCATGAATCTTACATTTTACTGTGTGAAAAACAACATGAGTCCGATTTCCGTTCAGTTTGTATAAACTTGGAGCTGTTTTTCCAATCTTTGAATTGTTGAAACAACTGACCGCTTTCGGACGCTCTACGATAAGATTTTAGATTACACTGGTCAGAATACCGTTGCCAAGAAAAAGAACTTTGATCATACTCGGAAACTCTCTGCTTCCACTCCCAGTTCACGGTCGCTGATAAATTATATTATAAATATCTCTATTGACCTTTGCCAGCTGTAAGGATGCAGACAATTTGATTATTTTAAGAGGGCGCCGCCAAGAGTTGAATGTTAGACAACAGCGACATTTTTAAATCGCTAAATTTATACATTTGTGAGCGATTCTTCTCTTAAGTTTAACGGCTTAAAAATGCTCCACTTTCTGTAATATTTAACACTTTGGCTTCGCAATGAATTAAAATCTAATATTAGATTCTCATGTCTGTAAACTGCATTTTTCTTGTTTACATTACCGATCGTAGGCAAGTATAAGTGAAAAGTGTACAGGTATACTCACTGGTATGAAGTTACACGAATAACCTCCCTGTTTTCTTGGTAGTTACGGAAAAGGATGTACATACGAGTGAGACAACGTTTTGAAACCAACTACTTGACAGGGAATCAAAAAAAGCGTTGAACGTAACTAAGAAAAAGCTTTTGAAACCATCTACTGACATTACACTGAAAGGCGGAATCAAGCCGACGAATCAGTCAAATATCAGTCAAATATTTTAGTATTACTGTCGACGTCGGCTATGGTTTAACGCTCAGAAACTCCGTGCATTCATGCTCGTCCGCAAACTGTCTGAAGATAACTTTGACAAGCTTAACTTAAGAAACTGAAAAATATCCAAAGATCTGATTTTCGGAAGGTACGTTAGGTTCAATGAGGACCGTATGTGTATGGATGAGCACATATTTTCGAGGAAAAACATAGAAAATATGTTGGTCTTAAATTAAAACTAGAAGGAAGACAGAGGAAATAGTTTTCTTTATATTCTCATGTGAATATTGTCAGGAAACCAGGAAGCGAGTTAGAGCAGGAAAATTTTAAATTGGATCATTTTGTCAGAAAAAGAGTCTATGGGCGCGATCCATTCAACTAAAATTTCCGGGCTGGGGTTCGAAAATTTCTTGGGGTCCAATGGATCACGACGGGTCGGGACGATCTCGTTCCATTCCACTCGCAAAACGAGTTTCGGGCCCATTTAAATTGGAGGATGTTGCTCGCATCACTGTTGCTCGCATTAGAGTGTTTTCCTCCATGTTGAACATGGAAAATACCGAACAGCGAGGTACTGGGATTGAGAATGGGTCGGAATGGTCAAATGGATCGGTCCATTTCGATCGGACCGGTCTAACCGAGAAAGGTGGGCCGATTTTTTCGAAATTTTTCCGGTTGGGCCGAACCGATCCATTCAGTTTTAGACCGAAATTTCCGGAAATTTTGGTTGAACGGATCGCCCCCTACGCGTCTCGTACATTTGATAAGGGAAGCTGGTTTAATGCGAGCAAACGAGGAGTTCAAACATGTTCAAACGTGTCCTTTTCGGACACGTTTGAACTGATAGTGGATGGAATTCAATATGAGAAAGCAGTTTTCATAGCTTTTCAGTGCATTATAACCGACCTTAACGATTCGAACCTTAAAGATTAGCTCTAAGTGCCTCTTCCTCGGCTTCGTTCTCGAATGGTACTACGGTTTTTTCTGTCATTATCGGAATTCCAAGAGGCAGGAAGGAGACCACTTTAATTCTGTTCTCGGTTGAATATTGGCTAGTGGGAAATAACTAAACTGAATTTATTAAATAGCTTGTTTAGATATAATTAACTCTCTTAAAATTCAAATTTCAGCACTTTTAAATTCTCCACCTCCTCTCACATTCATAGTGCAATCGCACTGAATATTATTTTTGGCTTTAATTATCAGAAGACGCACCCTCTTCAGAATCTGTAATTCCATTCGCTCCCTGTTTCATGCCCCCCTAATTGTTTTAAGAGATAGTTCTATTGTTTTCTCAGCCAATCCTGTTAAACCTTCTGAACTATGGGTGGCGCCTATTTTAAAATTATTATCTCGTCGGTCAATATGTTAGTTGGACTTCTTTTTTCTCGTTTCTGCGTCATCTTGCCAGGAATTACTCGGATTATCGCAGTCATTTCTTGAGAAATGGCGTTTCCTGATAACAAATAACTATTTTTATGCTGATATAAATATCTAGGAGTTATACCGTCCTCTAATTTTACATGGTCTAAACATGTTGAACATGTAAAATCTAAGCTGAACCAAAGATTAGGTCTTCTGCGCAGAATTAATAATAAGCACTACTACCATTTAGTGCACGCCTTCTTTGCTACAAAAGCCTCGTCCTTCCCATTTCAGACTACCCTGACATGGTATGAGGCGGCAAGGATAATGCTGCTCTAATGAACAACCTACAGTTGCTACAAAATAAGGCTGCTAAACTTACCTTTGTATTCTTCCGCAACGGAGGCACTTAGTCAACGCGGCTGGTTAAGCTTAGAAAAACGGACGCTCTTTCATCGTTGCCTCTATGTTTAGAAATGCGTTAATGGAATAACTTCCCACAGTACAGACCTGCGAAGAAACAGCGCGGTACAGTACGCGCAACAAAGACGATCTTAGACTTCCATCTGTAAAACGAAATCGGGGAAAGCAAAGAACTTGTTACCATGCCTTCAAAGATGGGAAAAATTTATATAGAGATTTAAGAAACTCTTGTTCTATATCCGATTTTAAAGGTAAATTTTTGGAATCATTCTCAGTCGTGTAATTTCTTTTTCTTTCTGCATTATTTTAGTTTTAGAACATATTTTATTCCTTTACTTATGTGATTAATGATATATTTAGAACAGGATCCCTCGGTATATCACCGGTAGGTGAGAGAGCTTCCTGTAATAAATATTATTATTATTATTATTATTATTATTAT